ACTGGAACCTGGGGAGAAAAGAGAGGGCTCCTCACTGGTTGAGTGAACTGAACACTGTGGGGAAGAAGCAGGGTGGGGGAGTAAGCACCCTGACTTCACTCTCTCTCTCCTGCCAGTCTCCTGCCTGGGTTCCCCTGTTGTCCACACCCAGCTGGCAGCCAGAGAACTCACTGCAGGTTGGCCTCCAAGCAGGACCCGGGAGGATGGAATATGACCATGCAGAGGCTGTGGGGTGCTGGAGGCCAGCTAAGGACTCTGATTTTCCTTCTGAGTAAGATGGGAGCCACTGTGATGCTGGACCGAGGAATGACTTGATGTGACTTCAGTTAGGAGTACATACACGATGGATGTCATAGACACCAGCTGCCAGTCTTAGCACTGACATTAGTGACCAGGAGCTGAAGGAGGCGGGTGGAGAGGGGGACACAGGAAATTGGTAACAGATGGTTGTGCAGAGTGGACAGGAGGAGAGAGTGCACGGACCTCAGCCAGTGGTAGCTCAGAACCCCTCTGCATTACAGAGAGGTGCTCTAGATCAGACCCCACGCTGACATTCCACCCTCAGTCTGGCCCCAAGTGGGCATGGGCCCCCCAAAAACTACCAGCCATGTCAGTGAGTCCCAAGGCCTCCCAGGGAACTATATCAAGTCCCAGCCTCATCTGTGTTTGTCTGTGTGCTGCCCTTAGCTTATGGTTGTGGGTGGAATTGGGTTCCCGCTGAAGCACATTGAAGTTCTCACCCCCAGGACCTCAGGATGAAGCCGTGTTTGGAAATAGGGTTGTTGACGAAGCGGTTCAGATGAGGTCACACTAGAGCAGACTGAGACCTTATTGCAATGTGACCAGTGTCCTTATAAGACAGACACGGGAAAGAAGGTCATGTGTAGATGGAGGTAGAGAGGTCAGAGAGATATAGCTGCAAGCCAAGGAATGCCAAAGACGACCAACAACATCAGAAACTAGGAAGAGGCAACCAAGGATTCTACCCAGAGTTCAGAGGAGGCACAGCTCTGCTGACACCTTGACATTGGACATCTGCCTGCAGCACTCTGACAGAATCCATTTCTGTGGTTAGAAAGCCACTGGTTTGTGATGCTTTGTTGCAGCAGCCCTAGGAGACCAGTAGATTTACCCTCTGTGTGCAAATGCCTGATGGGTCACTTGCATTGGTGGATCAGTGGAGGAATTCTATAATGCCCCGTGAGTGTTTCAGGGCTGTGAGGCTGACCCCAGTACATTGTGCTTGTGTTCTGATTTGGATTTTTCTCCTGGGTACCCATGATAACTTCACAGTGGACTGATGGAGAAAAGGGACTACTTGTGGGGAAACTCTGACCCTCCCCTATCAGCCAAAGCCTTGGCTTGTAGGGGATGACAAACTGCAAATATCGGTCTGTGTGATGAAAGTGGAATAATTCCTCACAGCACCTCTGGGCCTCCAGTGGGAGTGTCGCACAGCAAGCCCAACGTGATCCAGGCATAGCTTTGGCATTCGAGAACACTTTATGTGAGAACTTCTAAGGATTTTTTAAAATTAGTTGGTGCAGTGGGTTGAATAGTGGCTTCCAAAAAGAGATATCTGCATTTAAATCCCAGGAACTTGTGAAGTGAGTTTATTTGGAATTATGTCTCTGTAGACATAATTAAGGATCTTACAATGAGATCATCCTGGATTAACTGGTAAGCCTTAAATGCAATGACAAAAGTCCTTAGAAGAGATTAGGAGAGGAGAAGGACACAGGCACAGAGAAGACAGCTAAGGGAAAGTGGAGGCAGAGGTGAGAGTGATGGGGCCACAAGCCAAGGGACATCTGGTGGCACCAGAAGTTGGAAGATACTCTCTTGGAGTCTCCACAGGGAACACAGCCCTGCTGACCCCCTGAGAGTCGACTTTCAGCTTCCAAAACTGTGAGAGAATCAATTCCTGTTTTGTTTTGTTTTATTCTGCTTTGCAGTGCTAGGCATTGAACCCAGAGCCTTGCATATATTAGCCAAGTGCTCTAGCACTGAGCCACAACCCCAGCCCCAAATTCCTGTTGTTTTAAGCCCTCCACTGTGCTATAATTTGCTATGAAAGCCTTCTCAGGACACTAAAGGAGTTCCCTTACCTAAAGGAAAAACCATCTCTGATGGTGAGAAAAGCTACTCAAGACTGATGAAAAGTGCCTACTAGGGCAGCCCTGAGCTGTTGGCTGGCTCAAGAGGGTAACTTAGATTTCCAGAGACCCAGTGAGAAAACCCAGGTAGGGTAAGCTATTCACCAGCATGAGTGTTTTCCCTTCAGCCTGGCTCCAGCTCTTTTGTCCTCTTTCGTCGTTTTTCCTGATCCTAGTCAGTGTCCCTGATGAGAAGTTTAACGAAGCATCCCCATTGCAGAAGCATCCTGGCTATGAGTCTTTGCCTTCATGGGGTCCTGTGTGTGGGGTGCAGTCACGCCCAGCCACAGGAGCGGTGTTTACTTTAGAGTTTCCTGAATGGCTGGCCCAGTGAGGGGCTGGAGCAGGTTCCTCATCCTGGAGACAGCAGGCTGCAGGGCTGCCTGACATTTGTGGCATGACAGCTGTGACCGAGTCACATGCTTCCTCCTGGCCAGCCTTGCCGCCCTTGCAGACACTACGCCCAAGTTGGAAAGCGAATTTGCTCCCTCCGCCTTCCTTGCTCGTGTCTGATTTTTGGATGGCGATGATAGAAGACCTACTGCAAATCCAAGCATAATATGAAGCAGATGTAAGGAGAGTGAGGGAGTTGATTTAGCCTGGAAAAAAGACGGGAGTGAGAAAGTGAGCCTCGGGATGTAGTGTCTGGTAGGGAAAGAGTACTCTTTTCCCACAGAGATGGACTGGATCTGTTCGGGAAGGTTCCTGACCCAGATGGGGACAGAGTTTAGCTTCCTACACAAATCCAGACATGATTAACTCCCATGGTGTGGTGGCAGGCTTTCCCCACCCCTACCCCTTTCTGTGACAGTCACCACAGCCCAAAGCCTCTGCCCAAAGAGCAAGCCACAGTGCTGCCACACACCCAGACCACGAGCTATGCATGGGAGGCTGAGGCAGGGGAATGCACGCTCGACGCCAGAATGGACAACTGGGAAAGACCCTGTGTCAATGTAAAATTTAAAAGGCAGCAGGGGTGCTGAGGGCATAGCTCAGCATTAGAGGGTTTGCCTAGCACATATGAGGCCCTGGGTTCAAGCTCCAGTACTGCTCCCCCTCCCCGGGCAAAAAAAAGAATCACCAGCAGGCAAATTCCAGTGCCTGAGTTTTCCCATTTACTGGCTAATCACAGAATCATCATTCCTATTGGTTACCTAGGAACAGAGAACAATTGGTTCAGGCAGAATCGGGATCGGGAAGAGCTTTTGGCTGCATGACTGGACCCTAGGAATAAACACCACTCAATATAAAATCTTCAAGGGGGCCAGTGATCCTAGGCTTGATCCCAGCTGCTGTTGCTCTCCTAAGAGAGGACTGGTCCCAATGGATCTGAGACTGAAAGGGATCAAACAGCAGAGCTGAGAGTGTCTTTGGGTCCCCACTTTGTCATCTGTAAGATGGACAGGACAGGTCCACTGAATGGGCCTCCTTTGTATAACACATGGTGCCAGGGCCTGGGGGACGGAGATGAATATGTCACAGCATCTGTCCTCAAACATCTCGCTGTCTACCACACTGCTTCAGAAAGAGCTGGTCTGTGAATTTTTGCAATAAGATAAGGAGATTTTAAGATAAGATAAGACAAGATAAGGAGCTTCCTCCAGAACACAATTACGTTTTCATCACTAGGTGCAATGTCCAGATCAGCTGACATTTTTTATAGTAAGACTTTCTCAATAAAGGAAGTGGGAGATTGGCTTACAAATTCTTTATTGTGAGTGTTAACTGTGATACTGATCTACTGGCTGCACTTTGAATAGTACAGGCAAGCAATTTTGAGGTTATTCTAAAGGTTTAGTAGAAGCAAAAACACTTTGCTGGTGGAGCAGTAGCAGAAACTATGGGTGCCCTGTCGCTGTGTCCCTGGAACTCACATGCTCGTGCACACTGACCCTTTTCTCCTGGAAACGCCTGTAGGGTTCCATCTGGGGGCTTTCTCTGAGATCCAGCGCAGAGGCTGGAGAATTGCTATCCCAAGGAGCCCCTCAGTCTGTGAGGAGCAGGATCTGGAGGCGGAGTAGCCCAGCGTTTTACTCCTGGGAGTGTTCTGTGCCCTCTCCCTGCAGTCTCCAGAAGGACCACATGCCCTCAGTGTCACCTTCTCAGTACCAAAGTCTAGCTTGGCTCCTTCCCCAGCCTCTCACACGTGGCCCTCGCTCCTACCAGGTTTCCCGGGGCCTTGTCTGTGACCTTCGTCTCAGGATCTGCTTCTGGGAAGACCTTGTTTAAAGATGCTGATTTCATGATCAGTGGTCAAACATACTGTGTGTTTTGTAACCCCTTTTGTGGCGATGAGAAAATGCTCTCTTGGAGCTTGTGCTGTACCTGAGAACCCTTTCTTGCTTCCTGAGACCGCCCACATCCCTTGGCATTTACATTTGCCCACTAGGCAGGGACAACTGGGGGAGGGGTAGTGTTGATGTTCTTATTTTATTAACTTGAGGGAGGCACTATAACAGCAGGAAAAGAGCTCTGGAACAGAATCGTGACGCTGCCGCAAGCCTCTTCCTCTCCCCTGAAGCATCCACAGCCACCTGCTGCTCCGAGTCTCAGTCCAGGAGTCAAACTTGACCCCTCCCTTCCTGCAACCTGCACATGAATCCTGTCGGCACTTCCTGGTTTTGTGTGTAGGGAACCTGGGTGAAATCTGTGCACCCCTCCCAGACCCCCCAATTCCAAGCTTCCACCACTCTCCCTGGAGCCACACCAATGCCCTTTCCACTGTACCCCAACCTGGCTGCCTCCCCTCTTGCTCTGCAGTCCAGTTTCCACAGAGCATCTGGAGACTGCTATCAAAAAGTGTAAATTAGGGCTGGGGGTAGGGCTGAGTGGCATAAGCACTTGCCTGGCAAGCTTGAGGTCATGAGTTCGATTCCTGGTACCAAAAAAAAAAAGAAAGTGTAAGTCAGGGACCCAAGGGGTAGTTCATTGGTAGAGGAGGCCCAGCACGCCTGAGATCCTGGGTTCAATCCACACACCACCCCCAAGCACTTTGGATTATATCAGCTCCTTGCTTAAAGCCTTTCAACGACTCCTCATTTCACTCAACCATAGGTGACTTGACCACTCCTACACACCCTCCAAAGACTGCTCCCCACTCCCCAGCCTGAACCTCCCCACTTCCGTCCATCGCTCCATGCATCCAGTCACAGTAACCTCCATTTAGTGCCGCGGACATTCCCAGATCTTTCTTGCCACTGAGACTTTGTGCTTTGAGCCACTTCTGGCCTGAGCTTCTTCCCTGGGCTGTCCTGCTGTGCTGTAGCTCCCTCTCAATTTTCACTACTTGGTTCAGAAGCTCTTCTCTGTCATCAGAGCCTTCACTAGTTACCCAATCTCAAAGGTCCCTCCCCTTTGCACACACCAGAGACCCCACTTACCTCCCATCACCGTGCCCTACACAGGTCCTTTGTAGCAGTTGTCCCTAATCTGCCGCAGTCTTAGTTGCTGACTTGCTTGTAGAAACTGGCTTGCAAGGAATGAGGCAGTTAGAGCAGGAAGAGGCCTTGCACGTGGCCCTATGGAGAGTAGGAGGAGGCAGCGAGGATTGGAGGTATCTGGAGAGGGGTGAGTGGATTGCACCCAGATTCCAGCCTCCCTTCTAGAATGGCAGTGCCACAAAAGCCCAGATATGCCTGTGTGCTGGCATCGCATCGCACTGTCCAGAGTGCATCTCATCTATCAAGTTCTCAGACCACATCAAGAAGTGTTTGTTTAGAGCAGAATTTCATTATGTCATTTTGTTTGTAGTAAAATATACATAAAAGTTACCATTTTAACCTTCATGGTTGTGTGTCTCGGTGGGTGTGGTGCTAAGGACTGGACCCATGGGTGCTCTACCACTGAGCTGTGTCCCCAGCCCTTTGGTAGTTTTTGAAACAGAGCCTTAATGTGATGCCCAGGCTAGCCTTGAATTTGAGATCTTCCTGCCTCAGCTTCCTGAGTAGCTGGAATTACAGGGGTTACAAACAGGATTACAAACCACCACACCCAGCCGTTTTCATCCTTTTTAAGTGTACAGTTCCATGACATTCACACTGTAATGTGATAATAATTCACAGAAGTGCGTTCACATTGTTGTACAGTCGTCACCAGCTGCCATCTTCGGGACTCTTCCATCTTCCCAAGCTGAACCTCTGTACCACTCAAATACTAACTCCCCCTACCACTGGCAACCACATTCTTCTTTCTGTCTTTAAGAATCTAACAAGTGTAGGAACTCAGACAAGGGGAGTCACACAATCTTTGTCCTTTTATGGCTTGCTTATTTCACCCATCATACCATTTCTAAGCTTCTCCCATGTTGTAACATGTGTTAGAAGTCCTGCTTGCTTCTGGATTGGTTGGGGTTAATAAACCAGAAGTTTACATGGAAACAGGGATTGATGGCCCTGGTGGACTGTGATGGGATTTAAGTCAAGGTTTCAGCATAAACAGTCTTTTGTTGGCTTTGCTTGCAGCTGTTAACTGATTCATCTACCTTATCTCTTCACCCCTCCCCCTCTGGAATTTGTAATTAAATGTAGGACTCCTAGAATTTGTCTTTTTATTTGTGGCTCTGCATCTAAAAGTTTCCCTCCCTGTGTTTCCTGCCCGCTAGTGCAGCCTTGAGCTGGGGAATCCATGGCTTCCTGCAGCCCTGTCATTCCCGTGTGGGAAGAGCAGCCCACAAGCGTTGTTTGCTAGGTGCAAGGGTGCTGGGGAGATGAGACCAGGATCAGGATGGTGTGGGTATTTAGAGCATTTGCCCAAGGCCAGAGAGATCCAGATCTCCAGGGTAGAAGGGATAAGGAGCCAGCACCCTGGGATGGGGCTCAACAGAGCCTGAGACCAGAGGAAGGAAGAAGCAGAGGCCTGGGCTGCTCCAACCAAGAGCTCTAGGAACAGAGAAACGGGGAAAGGTTTTGATTTCCAAACCTCAATTTAGCCTCTCCTGTTCCTCTGGACACCTACACTGCTTGCTGTCTCCTCCTTCCGGTCCCTACCAGACACTGACGCCTGGGTGAGCTGTGATTTGGGCTCCAGAGGGAAAGGAAGAACCCAGCAGGGAGATTGGAAGGTCCAGGCTGTGAGATGTGGGGCGGGGAGGAGGGGCTCCTCCTCCTGCTCACTGGGGACCTGTCTGCTCCTACGCCAAAAAAGAGCACACATGGCATGTCACTGAGGATACGCACGGTGCTAGGGGCCCACATGGGATGTGCATGTGGGCACAACTGGGGGAAGGACCCACGGGAAGCTCGGTGCTCTGACTGTCAAAGTGGAACAAGTGTGTGTGCACAGCATGTGCTTGTGTGTGTGTGTGTGTGCACACGCGTGCATGCATGCGTGCTCACATTCATGTCTGCAGTTTTCAACCCATTCCACACCAAGTGCTTCTGGATCCTGGGAGCAGCTTTTATGCACCAGCTAAAGACCTGCCATGTAATAATTAATCGCTTGGCCTTGGTTGGAAAGATAAGGACTGGAAACCCAACTTTGATACTTACAGGCCATAGTGGACATTTGTTATCTGTTTTGGCCTCTAGGACTGGAACCCTTTTGTCTCGTGCTAAATCCCCCATCTGAAAAGATGGAGCTGCCTCCCACCACAGAAGCTGAAAATGCCAGACCTCCCTTGCTGCTAAGGCACGGTACGTAGAGCCAGACCCCTTGTGTTCCATGAATTCCATCCATTTATGACATCCCTCGGAGACAGTCAGGGGTCACCAACAGGGGACAGAATGATCAAATGCTGGGAAGAGCCCCACAGGGATTGTGCCTGGTTTGTGTTTTCACAGCAGAACCAAGAGGGAACAGAAATGGGAGCCCAGGGCTCACATGGCCCCAGAGTTAGAAATGCAATAGCTGTAAACACATCCAGCCTTCACAGATGCAGGCGCTTTACCGTCGTAGTCAAAGCAGCCCAGAGCGGAGCTCAGACACTGGCCACTTGGGACTCACGCTCGGCAAATTTGAATGCCTTATTTGCATGGAGGACCTGGACTGGAACTTTTGATGGGAGAATTTTCCTATATTAGCCACCAGTTTTCCTTTGTCTGGGACTGGGTTTGCTCTTAGAGCTGTCTCTCTTCTTAATGGAGCAGAAGTCTCAGTAAAAGCCTTGCCTGTGCTTGTATTCCTCGGGGTCTGGTCTATCTATTCTCAACCTCAGGCTGGTAACAGCTTTGCTTGAAACCTGGGGCGTTTTCTGTAATCCCCCTCACTGATCCAGCTGAGTCCAGCGTCCAGCTGACTTTGAGCATTGCTCATGGCCTTGTAGCCTCCAGACTGAGTTCTCTGGACTCCCAATGACCCCCTTTGCTCCAGGCTTATGGAGGTACATCCACATGTGGTATATTTGCCCTTTGCAAGTATACACTGCTATCCATTTTGCCAAATTATATGGCTGCATGGCTGCTCCCACAATTCAGCTAGAAAACATTTCCTTCACTCCAAAGAGTTCTTGTGTGCCTCTTTGCAGTCAGTATCCCACCTCCAACTCCAGAATCTGGCAACAATTGACCTGATTTCTCTGCCTGCACTTTTGTCTTTTCCAGAACGTCCTATAAATGGAATCATACAGTACCCTGCCTTGGAGTCTGGCTTCTTTTACTGAACAAAATGCTTTTGAGAGTTATCCCTGTTGTTGTATGTGTAATTACTTTGTTCCTTTTTACTACTGAATAGTATTTCATTTTATAAATGCACCAGAATGTGTGCCTCTATTCACCAGTACTGGACATTTAGGTTGTTTCTTATTTGTTGTGATTATGAATAAAACTACAATAAATTTACATAGGTTTTCAAAGGAGTTGAATTACTGATAATATGGTAAATGTATATATATAATACAGTTTTTTAAGAAAGATATTTGTAAGAGATCGCCAAATAAGTCCCCAAAGTAGTCATACCATTTTTCATTTCTACCGACAATATGTGAAAAGTTCAGTTGCTCCATATCCTTACCAGTTTTTGTTATCAGGCTTCAAAAATTGGAACCATCTTAATATGAGTGCGGTGATATCGCATTATGTCTTGTTTTGTTTTGTTTGGGGTTTTGTTCTTTGCGGGTTTATTTTTGTCTGTTTTGGAGGTGGGGGTTTTGCTTTCTTAACCAGCCTAACTTTGAACTCTCAGACCCAAGCGATCTCACCCCAGCCTCCCCAGTGCTGGGGCTACATGTGCAGCATTGCCCCCCGCCGCTATGGTTTTCATCTAATTGTAAATGTTGTTGAGCAACTTCTCGTGTTAGTCACTACTCATATATCCTCTGGGGAAATGTCTGAGCAAATCTTTTGCTAAATGTTTATTGTTTGGGGGGGGTCTTTTATTTTTGAATTTTTGAGAGTTTTTGTTTGTTTGTTTGTTTTGTCTTTTTTGAGACAGGATCTCGCTATGCAGTTCAGGCTGGCTTTGAGCTCACTTTGTAGCCCACGCTGGTCTCGAACTCACAACGATTCTCCTGCCTCAGCCTCCCAAGTGGTGGGATTACAGATGTGCACCACCACGCCCAGCAAGTTTTTCTGTAGTTTTAGTATTAGTCTTCCATCAAATATGTGTTTTGCAGATGTTTTTCCAGTCTGTGGCTTGATCATTTACTTTTATAAGTATCTTTCAAAGAGCACAAATTTTAAATTTTGAGGAAATTCATTTTTTCATTTTTTCTTCTATGATCCATGTTTTTTGTGTCAAAAGAAATACTCTCTTAATCCAAAGTATCCAGATTTTATCCTGTTTTATATAATTTTAGCTCTTACATTTTGGTCCACGATCCATTGTAAATTAATTTTTGTATATGGTGTAGAGTGTGGGTCTTTGATCTTTACATATGAAACAAAGCCTTGGCTGAAAAATATTGTCTTTCTCCATTGAATTGTCTTAACATTTACATAAAAAAATCAATAGATGTATGTTTAAGTGTAGATTCTGCCAGATGCTGGTTCTGCTGCTTTGAAATTATTTTTTCCTTTTGGTACAAGGAATTGAACTCAGGACCTTGTGCTTACCAGGCAGGTGCTGTGCCGCTGAGCTATATCCCTGGCCCAAAGATTTACTGTGAAACTATTTTTTTTCGGGTTCTGTTCTTTTGATCTGTGTGTCTATTCCTGCATCAGCACTACCCTGTATTGATTATTATAGTTCTACAGTACATCTTGAAACCAGACAGTGTGAGTTGTATAAGTTTTTTTTTTCTTTGTCAGTATGATTTTGGTCAGTTAGGTCATTTGGTTTCTACATAAATATTAGGATCAGTTTGGCAATTTTCCCCAAAGAAGTCTGTTGGTGTCTTGATTGGGACTGCGTTGAATCTGGAGATCAAGGGAGAATCGGCAGCTTGCAAATCTTGAGTCTTCAAAGCGACGAACACAGTCTATCTCATTTAAGTCTTTTTTGCTTTCTCTTGCCAATACTTTGTAGTTTTCAGCCTATAAATTTGGTACATTACTTATCCTGAAGTAGTTCATGATTTGTGGTGCTTTTAATAATCGTTTCTTTTAAAAAAAATTTCAGTGTCCAATTATTCATTACTAGCATGTAAAAATGGAATTAAATAAATGTATTTTAGTCTGTTGATCTTTTATTCCACATTTTGCAAATTCACTTCTTAGATCACATAGTGTCTGGGAATTCCTTGGGCTTTCCTATATGGCCAACTGTATGGTTAACAATTTGTTTCGTTTTGTTTGGTTGTTTTGTTTTGCTGTACTAAGGATTAAACGAAGTGCCTTCACGGTGCGCTTTATCCCAGCCCTTTTTATTTTGAGACAGGGTCTTGCCAAGTTGCTAAATTGCCTGGGCTGGGCTCGAATTTATGATCCTCCCACCTTAGCCTCCCAGAGGCCCGGGATTATAGGCATCCGCAACGCCTGCCTTGTTGACAGTTTTATTTCTTTTTTATCCCTCTGCCTTTTATGGCTGTATCTGGCCTGATTGTAACAACTTGGACAGTGACCGGGAGAGGTGACCGACATCTTTGCCTTTTTCTAATCTTTGAGAGGAAGCAACCTGTCTCTTGTCATTAAATATATTGCTAGCTGTAAATTTTATGGATACTCTTTATTAGGGTGAGGAGGTTCCCATTAGTCCTGGTTTTCTCAGGGTTTTCATCATAAGTAGATGCCCAGTGACCTTTTAGTAAATTTATTTTGTTTTTAAATCAGCCAGGATGGTTTCTGTTCCAAATAGAAGCCCTGACTGACACAGCAGCCTTGCAGTCTTGGGTGAATTCCTTAACCTCATCTGAATGGATGCCTACTGATGGAAATTTAAGTGCTTTTAATTTTATCACCTAAAAATCATAGCCATGAGTTAGGCGTGGTGGCATCAGAAAGCTGAGGCAAGAGGACTGCTGCAAGTTTGAGGCCAGTCTAGGCTACATAGTAAATTTGAGACTAGCCTGAACCACATGGTGAGATCCTGCCTCAAAAAACATACATACATACATATACACATACACACATACATAAACAGCATAGCCAGGACAGCTGGGTACAGTAGTGCATGTCTGTAATCTCAGCACTCTGGGAGGCTGAGGCAGGAGGATCACAAATTTAGGCCCAGCCTGGGGACTTCAGCAACTTAGTAGGAACCTATCTCAAAATTTTAAAAAATGATAATCCAGAAGGGCTGGGGACATAGCTCAGTGTGAAAACTTTGGGTTCAATCCCCAGTATCCCCCCAAAATTAGAAATAAAATAGGCAAGACAATCTTCAAGATTATCCACAGTGTTATATAAAAACCTTGAGCTTAATTTATTATTTTCTTCCACTCCACATTCAATAACTGTGCTGATTATATGTAATCATATAAATAACACACCCACTGTTGAGAACCCGAACCGCTCTTTAGAGTACAGAGAGTAGAGGCCCCTGGGGTGCCACCAGCCTGAGATAACCACGCCTAGCTGTTCAGGGACCATCTTCAATGCCCTCTCCATGTCTACTTACACAGAAGCCCTGAGCCCAGGACCCCGGGGCTGCCCTCCTCTCTCAGAGCCGCAGTACTTCCATGGGTCATGTGCTTTGGGGTGACTGCTCTCAGCTGGGCGGTTCCCACACACATCTCCCACGTTGCTGTGGTCACAGGTGGGAGGAGCCGTGGCCACCTGCATTCTCGGTGGGCTGGCTCTCCATGCAGCTCCCTGTAATTGACAGTGACTGTCACCGGGCTCTGCTCTGGCCCCATCGAGTGCCTTCCTCTGCTCCAGGTAGAAAGGCCGGGGACCAAGAGAGAGCGGTCCAGGCCTAAGAGTTCCAGGAACCTCTAACATGGCAGCAGTCCCAGAGTGTCACTTCCGCCATATTCTACTGGCCAAGAAGTCACCAAGCAAGCTTGAACTCAAAGTGCAAAGCATTAGCCCCACCTTTCAGTGGGACAATTAGTGCAAACTTTATCACCACCATCAATACACTACTTTATTCAAACAATAAATATGTTTTAAGCACCCGCCACATACCAGGTGCTTTTGTAAATGCCCCTACCCTTCCAGGGGAGCTGACTTTCAATGGCCTTGTTAATAATTAACATGTAACTTGCACCTCATCTTCCTCAAAGTGACGCTTCCTGGAGCAGGGCCAGAATTCAAGTCCCACAGC